CAAACAAGGACAACAAGGGGTTTGGGAGGGTTTCACCAATTTGAAACAGACAGCAAAGCCTGTGTTGATTTCCCCCGTCTCAAAATAATACCGGGTCCCCGAAATATCTTTTGCATCTGTCAAGTAAGCAGATCTGGACGTTTGAATCCAACTGCGTATTAGTCAGGTCCGTACCATTAGAAAATAAGCCACACAAAAAAACGAATGTATCACGTTGTAGAACATGCAGTCATTTGAAGAAACTATGTGGCCATTTCTAAAAGAGGTTATCATCTCAGACGTTTGTGGCTTTCATTAATTCCACTGAATTGATTTATCGTAATCAATAGCTCCACAGAGAACCATATGGCCAATACGTCTGAATTTGCTTTTGTAGTTTTTGTTTAGAATGTGAGCTATGCAAATAAAAAAGCGAAGCCTTTGAAGTTTCATGTCTGAGAGCAACAAGTGCAGCATGATCACAAGGCATTCCAATGTCTGTGGCGTGACACTGAATACTTGGGGGGAAGTTTAGTGATTGTGTTTAAATTAGAAGAAAAAACTCACCTTTGAGACTTTCTACATAAATCAGTAAAGTCCCGAGCCTCTAAACACTAATCATTCCCAGGTCTCTCCTCTGCTCTCAGCGCACAGACAAAGGCTTTTGTAATCTCAGCCTTAGATGTGTGTTTGTGTGTGTGTGTGTGTGTGTCCTGTGTTTGCACGTGTGTGCGTATGTGTGCGTTCTGGGCACTCCTAACGGGCACCAGATTCCAGATAGGGCTGCTCGTTAAGAGAAATCTATGCGGATGCATCCAGTCATTTAGCCAGAGGAGAAACATTGGCCATATGTTTGAGGGGGACTCAAACTGTGAGGTTTTAAGGTTAAATGGCCTTTGTAGTTGTAATGACATGGTAAACACAAGAGCAGCGAGACGGCTTTTTGAAAAGGATTCTTCAGCTGCACACAGAACACACACACACACAGATGCACACTAAGTGCATTTTATCTTTCAAGCACTGACATAGATGCCCCACCAACATCCATGCACGCACACACATACACATGGTTGTAAAGGGGAGACACACACAAACACATGCGCACGCTCACATGCAGACACACTTTCATCTGCATTCTCCATCTGGGCTTAATTCAAAGAAAAGGATTTTGGCAGGATAAAGTATCTCTCTAATGATCTTCTCCAGTTCCACTGCCTGTGAATGCTTAAGGCACTTGTTCATACAGAGGAGGTGAAACCACACTTACAAATTACTACACTAGAAGATACCACAGACTGACATACCTCCACTCCAGTGTTCAGTGCCGAACATCTGAATCTGTTATTTTAGCCTATTCAGGATACCTACATGGAATGAGCTGGATACCCGAGATGTTATCTGAGATGATAATTGTTCAGGAGACCATTTCAAGCTTAATCACACTGTTTTTGTTTCTTACAGAATCGACTGGAAGGGATAAAAGGAAAGAAAAGAAAAAAGGTAATACATAATTCAGCCTACATTTCAGTTATCCTGTTCACTGATTGGACTGCTACCTGCTGCCTACTCTCTGGGAGTATCCGATGTTGTCCAAAATCCAATAACCGCGGTGGCTTTAAGTAAATGACAAGCTTTCAATATTTGATTTTTTCCGTCAGGAAAATTATTCCTGCCTCTTGGCTGGCTTCATATCAGGATTTACAGTCTGTACTGCATTTGTACAGAATGTAAAGCCCTTGGGAGGCAAATTTGTGATTTCAAACTATATGAATAAAATTGACTGTCAAAAGATTAACCTGCTCAGTTTTTTAGTTCGCCAACCATTTTTTCTTTCTGTTTACAGGGAAAAAAAGGCCAGGGCCCCCTGGTCCTCCAGGTCCCCCGGGTCCACCGGGCATCCCTGGAATCCCTGGTATTCCAGGAAGCAACGCCGTGGGGCCCGCTGGCCCCCCTGGACCCCCCGGGCCACAGGGACCTCCAGGGACTCAAGGTCCAGCAGGTATAAAACTTAAAATAGAAATGAAACGATAACACGCTGAGATGGCCTGAACTCAAGCCAGAGGACTTGGAAACACCCATGAGTTGAGAGATTTGTTCTTAGATTACAGTATTTTCCTGCATGTAGACGCGTTCCCACACTAGAAGGGGGCTCAAGTTGACAAAAATTGATGAACTCATTGCCTTCACAGTGAGAGTTTCTGATGCAAGATGTCAAACATAGTGTGGGATAGCAGTGATGTATCTTTAAAGTATGCCAGTGTTTGTTTTGTTTTAATCATCATCTCTTTGTTCCTCAGCAGTGTTGAAGCCAGAATCTTTATCATGTCTCTCTGTCTCTCTTATTGTTGCAGGGGTTCCCGATAAGACAAAAACAAAGGAATTCCAGGTAGAGTATGTCACCTACTGGAAATTAAATTGTATCCCACACAAAATCCCAGATGAAACAGCTGTTCCCTTGTTTTACTGTGTATCCAGATTAGTCACCAGAGATTCTTTTGTTTTTCAGCCTGCAGTGGTTCATTTGCAAGGGCAGGAGACAACCATCCAAGTGAGAGAAGGTGGGCCTTCTGTCTGTTCTTACTTGTAGTTACACCACCGTGTTTGACACAAAACAATAAACATGCTTAATCCCTGTTAATGTCTCTTGTCAAAGACCTGGCTCTGCAACTGTTCAACTAAACACATCCCTGCTCAACCACAGACTTACACCAGAATAAATATAAACACTATAAACTGTTTACACTCACTTGATTAAAAATGTTTAAACTACAGATTCAACATGCAAGATTTAGTCATTTTTTAAGATATAATTTTTTTTATTCAGTCACACTCACCTACATAACCTAAGATTTTTATGGTTTAGAGTGCTACCGATATTTACCATAAGATTATAGTAACCCTAACGTAATCCCATACCTATTAAAGGATTAGTACACAGTTGTAGGCTTACATTATAAGCCAGACCCGTGTTAACTCAGGTCAGGAGCAGAAGCCTCGCATGCTAGCAGATTCCAGTTATGACACAGTATAAATGTGAGTGTAAGCATCATTAGCAGGTTTATATTGTCTGTCAGTGCTGAGCTCTGGTTGTAGTTTAAACACTGCTGATAGCTGTTTATGTTGACTGTTTGCCTCTTGTTTATTTGTTGTGACATGTTTAGATCTGTCCGAAGGAATCCTTAGGAACTGGAAGATGGTGTCCATCCATCACCGCGTGTTTAAAATGCACTCTCGCTCTGGAGAGCTGGAGGTGCTGTTGGATGGTGTCTACTTCATATATAGTCAGGTAGAAGTGAGTACGGTCCTTGACGTAACTCTTATAATTTACAGTTCAGAGTCAAAAGAGCTGGCAGTTGTTCTGCATTTAAGCTTAAAAACCTGCTTGCTTTGTTTATCCATAAATGTTTGAGTTATACTTTAAGACATTTCTTTTCCTCTCCCTGTGGCTAAATGTGAACGTCTATAACTCAAACCCCTGTTGGCTACTCTGATACCCCAGCTGTTCCAGCTTTAAATAAGCTCTTAAATATCATGTGGACTTGTTTTGACTACCCCTCTCAGTCTTGTGTGAATTTTATGTCTCCCCTCTCCACCAGGTGTACTACCTCAACTTCACCGACATTGCCAGCTATGAGGTGATGGTGGACTCCAACCCGTTCCTCCGCTGCACCTGCAGCATCGAGACGGGCCAGCGCAAGTTCAACACCTGCTACACGGCTGGGGTGAGCCTGCTCCGCGCCGGCCAGAGGATTTCCATACGCATAGTGTATGAGGACACACTCATCAGTATGACCAACCACACCACCTTCCTGGGAAGTGTCAGACTTGGAGAGGCTCCATCTGCTGGACAGAACTGATAACTACACAACACACCAGCCCTTCTACAGAAAGGAGAAGTTGCTCACAACGGTCAAATCAGTAGCAAGCAACTTCTAGCCCAAGTCTTGCCCCCTGTTTAGAGGAAACTGAAACCCTCGGGATTATTAAAGCTGAGGGAGCCCCTGGGTGACTTTTGTTCACTTTCACAGCTCTGTATTGATTCTGTGCAAAGAGATCAGCCTCGATGAGCCAAATGTCCTCATCAAACAAACGTTTCTATTTATGGCCACCATTTTGTGTCAACACAGACGGCATCTCTCTTTATAACAAGGAAGGACACTGCGCTGACATATACCTAATATTTACATACTTTAAAGTGCTGTTGAATGATAATCTTGTATCTCCAAAAACACCATCTATTCAAAATGTTGTATTTGCAGTTTGTATAGTTGGCCCTTTTTAATAAATTTAATTATGTTATCAGTTATAAGTAAGTGGTTTAACAAGGGGCTTAAAGCTCCATATGCCCCTGGGTTTTAAACATGATTGAAAGATCATATATTTGTTCAAAGTAAGTATAAAGGTATCTATGCAAAGCTGAGAAAAGTCCATTAAAATTGGAGTTATAAGGTATTCACAGAGCAACAGCACTATATATTTTGCGCACATTTGCACTACAGCATCCCTGCAGAATATCAGTGATATGTTTTGTTACAGTGCTATTGTTTAGATACCGTATGAATGAATCCATGTGGAAAAATGATAGTTGTTTATACGTCTTTGTACATATTGTATATAAAAGGGATATACTTTTGTAAATGGAGTTGATTGATGGATTAAAATGTTTCATTTTCTGTCTAAACCCTTTCGTCTGTCTTTTCTGTATGTGCAGCCGGTGGTATTTATTTAAAAGGTTAAAACTTCTCTTTTTTTAGATGGGACTCTGCTGGCACGAGGACTGACAAGAACAAATGATGTTCTTTGAGTGAGGCGTTTTGTCTTTATTAAAATGTGGCGTTTACTTTGACTGAAAGTTTCACAATACACTGCAAATTTGGCTGTAATCTTCGTGCAATCTAAATGAGTTCCATCTTGAGCAGCAGAGAGAAGATAGTTCCTCATTTAGAAACAAATTTTGAAACCGAACATTTAGATTTCCGGGGTTAACTGATGTGTGACCTCACCCATTTGAGTAACTTGAGGACATCCAGTCTGTCTCACTAGTCTCACAATGCTTTACAATGCTTTATTATCACTAACAGCATTTATGTTTTGTCTTAGTCTTTTCCTAGTGCACAGAGCCAGTGTTTTAGAAAATGATTTTCGCAAACTCCAAGGGGACATAATTCTACAATTAAATCAGCCACGTTCTGAGGGAGTCAATGGGAAAGTGGCCAAGATGTCTAAAACAAGGGAGGTATGTCACGGATTATACAGGATGGAGTCATCTTGGACATTGTACTACTGAGATTTATGCCATTAGTGAGTATTCAGATAGCGCTGTAATAATAAATTTTCTCCTAATGCTTTGTTTTCTCTTAGGACATAAAGCCAAGTACTTTGCAAAAAGCTCAGAGTTCTGCGAAGATATTTTCTAGGAGAGTAAAACGGGAACAGGGCAGCTGCAGAGGTGGGTTGGAGCTGAGAACTGAAAATGTGTCCATTAGTTACGGTCTAATCTGGTAGTGAGACCATAAACTGTATATGCTAAGTTAATAAAATTAAAGTATTTTGTTTATTTCTGCTTCTTGCCAGCTCCAACATCATTCCTACAGTTAACAGCTAACACTAACAAACAGCCAGACATAAGAGGTAAAACTAAATTCAAGTCTTTGGCTTTTAGCATCACACCGTATGCCATTATTTTGAATAAGTGTATCTTGCCTTTTCCCTTAGGAAATATAGCAGTGATCCCTTGGACTGTTTCTGTACAGCAAGGAAATGCAATTTCACAAAAGGAAAACAGAATTGTTGTCCAAGAAGATGGTTATTACTTGGTGTTTGGACAAGTATTGTGTCACTCTAATTCAAGCATAACTAAGTTGATATTACATCTGATTTGTTCCAACTGTTCAGCTAATGTTCTGCTTAATTCACAGGTTTTGTTTGAAAGGCCAAGCACAGTTGTGGGTTATATCATTCAAATTTGGGGTTCCGCGAACAAGGGCACCTCAACAGAGCTCTTGTGTTGCCTTAAAGATATGCCAGATGAAACTCCTCCCAACACTGCCAACACATGCTACACTTCAGGTTAGTGAGGCACTACTGTGCGGCCGCTTAAAAAAAAATAGTTCCACATTTTGAGAAATTTTTGCTTTCTAGACAAGAGTCAGATGAAGAGATTGATACAGCTGTAATAATTGCATTGAAAATATGAAGCTACAGCAAGCAGATGGTTAGGTTAGTTTTGCACACAGACTAGCTGGCCTTGGTCTGTATATAAGTATAAAAACTACCAGCGCTTATATACCTTGTTTGTTAATATGTACAAAATCCTAGGTGTAAAAACAACACATTGTGGTTATACAAGTAGTTATGTACAAGATTATTTCTTGACCAGGAGTAGTGACTTCCTGGAGTTCTACTGTCACCCTGAGATTGCCAGACTGCTTCTAGCCAAGAAATAGCTCCCCTTAACCCACAACCTTAATTTTTTACAGTTTGGTTTTTGTACAGATTAAACAAATGAGATATCATATGTTAAATTTGTGAGCTTTGGAGGAGCTGGTAGAAAGATGTTGTACCTTTGTACAGAGCCAGGCTAGCTGTTTCCCTTTGTTTCTACTCTTTATGCTAAGCTAATTGGCTGGTGGTGCTTCATATTTACTGTACAGGAGAGTGGTATCAATATTTTCATATAACTCTGGGCAAGATAGTGTATTCGTCCAAAATTCCCCAAATGTTTAATTATTCCTTTAATTTTAACGGTGTCGTGCATTACATTTAGGAGGATCTATTGGCAGAAATTAAATATAATATTCATAGGTATGTTTTCTTTAGTGTATAATCACCTTATTCTGGAATTGTTATGTTTTTGTTACCTTAGAATGAACCATATTTATGTACAGACGCCGTGTGTCGCTTTTTGTAGAGTCCACCATGTTGTTTTTATAGTAGTCCAAAACAGACAAACCAAACACTGGCTCTAGATAGGTTTTTTTCTTTAATGTGTCACCCATCTTGTCTCTTCTCTGATGCCTTCTTCTATGTATCCTCTGTCATAGGTTTAGTGCAGCTGCAACAAGACGATGAACTGGAACTGGTGATACCATACAAGCCTGAAGTCCTCATCACTATGGATGTAGAGACCTTTTTTGGTGTCATAAGGCTAAACTGAAACAAGACGGTATGAAGAAGATAACTATGCAGCTCATTGTTGCAGGATGTAAGAAACTGACACTGAGCAGCGTGAGGGGATGCTGATAAAGGACCGAGTGACAGCAGTAGGAAAACTTCTGGGACCTGTCATTAACCTCAGGAAAATACATAATGAATTGTTTTAATGATCTGCCCATCTCATCTGTCAGTTTACTTTTAAAATCCTTTAGCTTAACTATCTTTCAGGCTGTCCACCTGGGCCTGTCCCCTATCATTGTTTGTGTGTGCTTCCTCCTTTCATCAGTCTATTTTAGCATGTCTCTTGCTGGGGGCTTCCCTCCAGCTCCACCTCCGCGCTGTCTGTTTATTTGTTCCTCTCGTCTATTTTAGAATGGTTTCCGTTTTCCTAAGACTATGTCAGGAACAAACAAAAGTATAAATTTATATTGCTCAGGGGGTGTTTTCCTGGTTGACACGAACTCCTCAAACCTGTAAATACTTGAACATATCATGATAAAATTAAAGTTGTTATAAATGGGATAATATTCCTTTGTACAAATTCATTCTCAGTTGGTATTTCTGTTTTTTTTAAATTCATGCATCTGTACAATTTGTTACATTAAACAGAAATATGACCATCTTTGTCCAAAAATCTGTTTTCATACAATTTAAAGGGTCCTTACTCTGACGTTTTCTTAATAGTAGGTGGCACATCAGTAGCCAAGCCTTTATTGTCTAAATATAGTATCAATGTCTATCTGGTGTCCACAGCTGTTTTCTCTCGCTTTTGTTTTTTTTATGAAGCATGGCTATAAGAGGGTGTGTGTGAGGTGTGTATATGAGCTCTGACAACAGTAGTGGTACAGCAGCAGAAGCAGCAGCAGAGGGAAGATGGTCAGACATATGTTTTCTCATCTTCTACTACTCTGGTCACTCAGCAATGACCTCTATACAACTGGACTGACATATCATGAGCCAGAGGTAGGCTCACGATTAATGATTTAAATGTTAATATTAAAGTGTAATATCTTTGCATTTTGTCCATACTTTTTTGAACTTTTACTGGTTTTTAGATCCTTAAACTGCTAAAGTTGTTTGACTTTGGTTTTCATGGTTCGGTCTTTGATTATGATTAATGTTCCTTTCATTTCAAGAAGCAGTCCTGGAACAACCAGAATCTCTATTCTGTCCCTCTGGATTTGGATGCACGGCTTAGAAGACTAGACCTGTCCAATAACTTCATCAGACAGTTGCAAACACTTGCTTTGCCATACTTAGAGCAGCTGGACCTGAGCTCCAACCAGCTGGATCTCATCTCCGAAGGGGCTTTTGAAAACCTGGCTCGACTTGAAGAGTTGAATTTGTCCAGAAATGCTCTGAACAACAACCTTGGCAGTAACAGCAAAGCCCTCCAATCCATCAGTAGACTGAAGATTTTGGACATATCAATGAACGATTTGACTGATGATGCGGTGGAACAGTACCTTCGAAACAAATCTTCTCTTGATCAACTTAAGATGACTGGTAATGCTTTAACAAGACTTTCACACAAATTGTTTAGGGAGAACAAAGGTTTGAGGTCTATTACTATTGATGACAATCTGATATCAGTGATAGAACAGGGCACATTTGAACCATTGAGCCAATTAGAGACACTAAACTTGGCCAAAAATAACCTTGCATATATCTGTGATTTTAAATTACATCAAGTTAAATATCTAAATCTCAGCAGAAATTCAGTTGAGTTCTTTGTTACGCGTGAGGACAACCAGTTGTACAGTCTTGAAATTCTCGATCTGAGTCACAACAATCTCATTTATTTCCCAATTGTTCCGAAAATGAACAATTTGAGGTATCTACATTTACAGAATAATATGGTTGGTGCCTTAAATTCAGAGGCTACAATGGTATCAGAGGCCAATGCTCTTTATAATGAGATTATGAAGGAGAGAACAGTCAGAAAAAATAACCTACACTCAAACTGGAGGCTGATGCCACTGATTTATATTGACTTGAGCTATAACCACTTTAGCTCTTTCCCACTGGAGACTTTGAGCCTTCTCTCATCTTTAGAGACTCTGAATTTCAGTTATAACTGTCTGCAAAACATCATCTGGCATGTTAGAAAAGATAATGAATTAGGATACCACCGACAGCTTTTCTTTCCCTCCTTAAAGTATCTTGACATGCAAAGAAATGGACTTGTATACATTTCCCCGAGATTTCTCAGTGCGCTCACACAAATAGAAACGTTTAATCTCCAAGACAATTCTGTGCGACCCTGTGCCTCTATGGACCATTTGCAAAGCTCTCAATCAACACAGCAAATAGATCTCAACACATCCTGTGTTGTCTTTGGGCAGTTACGTACTCTTAAACACCTCAATCTGAAAGAAAACAGCATAAAAATGCTTCACCCAAACACATTTCAAAAAACCTCTCTGGTTTCTCTGAACCTTGCAAGGAATCCACATATGGTAATGCAAGTGGATGCATTAGAAGGTGTGCAACAGACTCTTGAGTCTTTGATTATCAGTGAAATAAACATGAACAGCTCTGATCTATCTTTACCCTGCATGCGAGTGTTAACTCATCTGAACTTATCTAACAACCATCTGGATATGATACCTAGCAGTTTAAGCTGCTCTCCCCTGAGAGAAATAGACATAAGAAATAATAATTTTGTGTCTTTAAACCACTCTTTGATTCTTGCTTTATCTGTACACCTCAATCTCATGTACATTAGTGGAAATTATTTTAACTGTTGTGACAGTAAATGGCTGACAGTCCTACGTGAGTTGAAGATAAAGCTGCCCGATATCAATGACACTGTATGCTTTTCAAGTGATAGAAACATTGTGATGACAAAAAACACCTCAGTGTACTGTTTGTTTCATCCAAAAGCACAGGAAATCCACTTTGGACAAATGATCATAATTGTTTTATTTGTAGCTGTAATATTAATAGTGTTGATCATATTTATCAGGAAGGTATGTTGCAAACAGATATCATTTATAGTGTGATCTAAAATCTGTTGTCATTTTTATACATTGTTCTACATAATGCACATGGGTTATATAAAGTAAGCAAACCAAATACATTCAGTGAGGAACTGGAGAGCAAAGTGCAGTAACTGAAGCATAAATCCTGTGAGTTTCAGTTTGCATGACCCGTTTAACTATAAACAAAGTGGCACTTAATGGCTTCTTAGACTGTAAAAACTAACAGACCTTTAATTAATAATGCAGTAAAATCCTCATCTTACAAATGATTCAATTCCCATCTCCATTCAGGCTTTCTCTTATGACTCCCCTGCACATTACTAGTCTGTAGGACATGCATGGCGTGACCTGTGCAGCCAAATGTTGTAACTGAAATTGGCTTTATAGACTCCCAGGCTGTTTGGTTACAGTGCATGCCAAATTCACTAATCAGGCGGAGAATTTTTGCCCATCCTTCATTGTGAAATGCTTGTTTGCAAGTAAAAGTTTAACCTTGGCTCAAATTTTTATGACATCTGCGAGGCCTTGCACAATATTCCCAGAATCTGGACTGAACTCCTGAACACTACGCTAATAAAGACACCATGTACGAGTTTCTGTATGAGCATAAAAATAATAAGTGTGTATATGGAAGATCCATTTTAATATAAGTCACTATTTTGTGTTTTGCCATGTATAAATTATGTGGCACTGACCCAGGGAGACTGTTGAATGTGGCAACTGTTATGCTGTACATAATAAACATGCTGTACCTAATAACCAGAACATGTTGGCAATCTTCATTTTACAATATGAAACACCCATTTCTGTACCTGTACAATAAATCATAGAGCTCTGGGAAGGGGAAAAATTTCTCTTTCTGTGAATTTCTGTTGAGCAAATTCCACTAGGTTATAAAAAATTGACCGGAGAAGCTACTATCATTCAGTGTGAGGCATATTCTCACTCAATAAATCTGACTGAATGTGGATCCAATTCTTTTACGAATATAAGACTTCCCAATGTAGCACATAATAATTGAAATGTGGTTAAACTAACAACACGTGAACCAACTTTGAATTTTATGAAGTGAATTGATTGGCAATATGTTGCACTATAAAAAATATCAAAACAAAAAAGGTTTTGTTACAATCTGAGCAAGTAGCTCAGGGGACACTAAGGAGAAACTGCTGTTGCAGGAGGATATCCTGTTGAGCAATGCTCATGTTGTCTTTTTATTGACACATCTTTCTCCTTGAAAGTGATGCAAAGTGGCATTTTGCAATTCTCATGGCCATTACCTCTTTGGCCACTGGGTAGAGCCAAGGCTGCGATGCCAGCGTTAGCGTCACAAGAGCCAGGATGCCAATCAATCTGGCTCTTGAGCAATATAACTGTAGGAAATGTCTTTGTTGCCCCACCCACAAGATTTAGGAACTAGATCAAGTAGCAGCTTGACAAGTTCAAGCAAAGAGCACTCGAAGAAAGGAACACTGTGTGGATAGTATTAGGTGTAAAACCATAGGAATGCAAGTAGCAAATAGTATTCATTCTTCTGCTTGGTGATTAATGATAGCTGGCATTTAGACTTTAGCAGCAGCTTGTTTGTTTGCACATTAGAGCAAGTATTGAAGACGTGTATCACTGTCAGCCTCTCCCTCTAGGCTAACTGTATTTCCAATAAACCCTATCCTAAGTAAAATATACCTTCCCAATTGTCTCTCTTAATAAAAAAAAATCTCTCTTAATAAGGATGATTTTATCTTCAGAAATATCGCTGTATGAAACAATACAAATGTAGTACAAGTCAGTGGCATACCATTACTGTTGCACATACCTTGTTTAAGTCAGAGGAAAATCTGTTACAGCAGTTCTGCTGTAAACCCAAAGACAAAGTTACTATCTCAGCATCTAGCTGTTTGTTCTGCTCTCATTCGCTGTTCTATTTAGAAATATGCTGACCTGGAATTGCAGTTTTCTGAACAAACGCACTGTGCTTCCTTCTCCCAGCAGTATAAATAGAAAGTCACTCGAGGAAATATATAATACAGAAATGCTCTTAATATTATTTATAAAAATATCTGTTTATATCTATTTCTTTCTCGTCATTGGAATAAGGAGGGTAACAATGGTCATGAACCAGCTGACGCAGTTCTGTGGAATAACATTATTCATGCAGATGTCAGGAATACACTGGCCATTATTTAAAACGGGCAAAATCCCGGTGGCCCGCTGTGGGCCTGTCGATTGTATACTGTATAGGCCTATTTGCTTTTAATATTTTTTACTGTTGGGCTCCAGCAAAGTCCCGGTACAGTGACAGATGAGCTGAACTGAACTTTTTTTTTCGTAGCCCGATTCTATCTTCATCATTTCCCAATCCATTTGTAGGTTAGGCAAAGTACAGTGCTGATTTGTAGGCTTTAAAAATGTGCGAGCTCCCTCTAGAGACGAATCGAAGTAGCACATCACAACTATTACATCCTGTAGCCTAGAAACAGGCACAAATGTACTGCTATTGTTCTGTTCATGTTTTTAATCTAGGTTTGTATGCATTTTTAATTGATCTATCATGGATTCTGTTTTATTTAAATATGAATTTAAGGTCTTGGTTAATGATTATATGTATTAATGTTTTTTGTGGTCGGGGCACCAATTATCTTAGGGCACCCACATTTCCAGCAGCGGCCCTGTACAGGTTATTTCCTTATGGATTTAAATGTTTTTCATATCCATCACAGGAACCCATCACCTGTGCACTGTACACTTTTGTTATAAAGATATGATTCTTTGGCACACAGTTCTGACAGTCCAGCACACCAATGCATCATGTTAAAAAGCCTTCCTGTTTTAGTCCACATTGTCCTGAAGGCAGTAAGGGGTGACTGTAAAAAGTCCTCCCAAAACTCTGCTATGGTGACAGATAAGCTGAAGAAAGAGCAGGACACCCGCTAAGATTAAGGTCAACACATTTCCTTTGAATCCACTTTATCTAGATAACTACCTCTGCTGCAACCATTGACAGTATGCTGCAACACAAGGTTTCCAACATGGCGGGCACAGGCTCCCCGGTGTATGCTACCTGCGGCTGAAGAAAGAGCAGGACACATGCTGGAAGAAGAAATCCCTCAAGGACAAGAAGAAGGAGGTGAAATAAAGAAGAATTACTGCACCCTCCAGAGCCAAAAAACCCTAAAGCTGTGAACAAAGAGTCCCGTTAAAAACTGGTAATATCTAACAATATCGTTACATTTTTTTAAATTTTTTTTTTTTTAGTTAACTTAGATAATTGACGTGCAGAGAAAGCCCGCGGCTCCAGCTCCAGCTCCAGCTCCAGCAGCAGGAAACACCTCCCGGATGACCATGACTCCTCAGCAGCAGGTTGTCCACCGCCAGCCCCACCCCTCCATAACCGCCCAGAAAGTCCAGCTTATTTACAAACTCTTCTTGCTGGAAAATGCCCGAAATACTTTGGAACAAGAGCTTCTCAACTTCACCAAGAAGGTAATGTTTAATGTGGACACCTCCGGGTGTTATTATCTGTAAGTTCATTTAGCTAACAGTTAGCTAGAGGCCACATGGTCAAATAGCAAAAGCCTGTGGTGTTAAAGCTGGGGTCATTGAGTGGGTTGTATGGGGGTCTACAGCTAAAGGAATGGAATATTTTATTGATCCTTGATTGACTATGAATAATAATCTTAAAACCTAAACATAAAAAAAATCTTCCTTAAGACAAATCCTCTTAAATTGGGGGTTCATGGTCAAATGTGCATTTATTGTGGGGGTCCTTGACATGAAAAATAACCCCTGAGCTAAGATTGCTAAATATGAATGAAACAAGTGCTTATTTTTACATACAATTGTTGCCAGAGCTGCAGTCAGTGCCATCATAGATTTAGCATCTTTCCAACTAATTTAAAATTTTGTTTTGGATAACCAATCCAAATCCCAAAGTATGGCTGCAAAATGAGTCGCAATATTATCCAAATCACTGAAACTGTGATGTTTGGATAAAGGTAAATTGTGTGTCAAAACAGCATAATGAAGTTATGTGGAGCTACAGAGATTCCCCGGCCTACAAATCTTGTTCTCCAGATGTAAGAAAACAGGTTTGATTGGTACAGACGCCCAACAAATGTCACATCATCACAATTTTAATAGTTAAAATTAAAATTGTGATTGCAAAAATGATCATTCCCACTAATTGTGAATCATATCGCAATCCCATCTTTCAAAATAATTGCAGTATGGCTTATTTATTTCTTGCAGTCCTATCTTGAAGATATTCAGTGAGCAGAAAATGATTAAACATGTTAGAAGCTTTAAACCAGTGAGTTAATGGCAAATTGTCTGGTAAATTAGTCAGATCATTACCAAAATTGTTGTTGAGTAATAAGCACAGCAGTGATTGTTATTTCTATTGTTGGATGAACAGAAGAAGTCTCATCACTTCAGCTTGTTGCACTGTTCCCTCAGGCCTATGAAGAGGTTCAAGGTTTCTTCAATTCATCTTTTCCCACGAGTGCGTTCAGTGATCTCGCTAAGGCTTTGGATACAAAATGTCAAGCTGTTGACAAGCTCTCGGCTTTATTAAAGGACCTCACAGTTGGTAAGTCGAGAATTAATCGTACTGTTTATGTGGCTGCTAATGTGACATTGCTAATATCCTTGTGTAAGAGAAATGTACCAAAGGTCTTGATTGTAACGGCACTACTCTTACCGATACTGCTTATCGATCCTGTACTCTGAAGGGGCAGTTCACCCCAAAATCATCTTACTTGTAGTGCTATTTCTACATGTAGATTGTTTTAGTGTGAGTTTTGGAGACATTGGCCATAGAGATTGTGTTGAGTATAATGGAACTAGATTGCACTGTGCTTGTGGTGCTCCAAGGGCCAGCAAATACTTTTGAAACACAAAGGCGCCAGACGCAATATATGACGCACATTTTAGTTGATGAAATATTGAGACATGTTTTTTTTCTTTTTTCTTTTTTTTTTCTTTCATGTGCAATGACTACATATTTTTACAATTGGAGAATGTAAGAATGACTTTAGGCCTACAACAATGAT